ATAGATACACCCCCAGCCCCGTCCTTGAGTTCAGGGGTCAGTGTTCAGGGTTTAGGGTTTAGGGTTAATCCTTCAGGGTTCAGAGTCTAGGGTTTCGGGTTTTGGGTTTAGCGTTTAGAGTTAAGGGTTTAGTGTTTACTGTTTTTAGGGTTTAGGGTTTACGCTTAAGGATTTAGGGTTTTGGGCTTCCTGTCTAGGGTTTATGGTTTAGGATTTAGTGTTTACCTAAAGGGTTTACGCTTATAGATTTAGGGTTTAGGGTTTAGGGTTAAGGGTTTCCTGTTTAGGGTTTATGGTGTCCTGTTTAGGGTTTAGGGTTTAGGGTTTAGGGTTTAGTGTTTCCTGTTTAGGGTTTAGGCTTTAGGTTTTCTTGTTCAGGGTTTATGGTGTCCTGTTTAGGGTTTAGGGTTTAGGGTTTAGTGTTTCCTGTTTAGGGTTTAGGGTTTAGGGTTTTCTGTTGAGGGTTTAGGGTTTAGGGTTTAGGGTTTAGGGTTTGCTGTTTCCTGTTTAGGGTTTAGGGTTTAGGGTTTAGTGTTTTCTGTTTCCTGTTGAGGGTTTAGGGTTTAGGGTTTAGGGTTTGCTGACCATTCTCTTTTTGGGAATTTTCTATCGATGAGATCTTGTTTAACTCGGAGTTTATAAACAGCTATAATATCGGATTTTATTATTCCTTTTTTTATAAGTTGTAGTTTTATTTCTCTATCTATTTGTCTCACCTTCACAAACAAACGCTCCTCAACTGAAGCGCTGCTACCCTTCACCTCAATATCTGACACGCAAACCCTAAACCCTAAACCCTAAACCCTCAAAAACCCTCGAAAACCCTAAAAAACCCGAAAAAACCCTAAAAAACCCTAGAAAACTGTAAGAAACAATAATAAGCAATCATAAACAATAACAAACAGGAAATAAACAACAATAAACAATAATAAATAAAAACAACAACAACAGTAAACCCTACTAAACCCTAAACCCTAATTTCACAGCTTCTACCGTTCGCTCAATCATCGTATAAAGACACCCCAAACCCAACGTATCCAAGCCGCATAAATTTTAGGGTTTAGGGTTTAGGGTTTAGGGTTTACCTCGTGTAAGAACCTGCATACGACCAACATTAACCTGTACATACACCGCAGCTCCCTTCTGCAGTCTATCTAACTCGTGAACCTCTATAACCAAATTAAACTTTCGGTGGTCCTGGCAACCCAAATAGTAACCCAATGCCCCTGCATACACCACACAAACCCTAAACCCTAAACCCTAAACCCTTAACCCTTAACCCTAAACCCAAAGCCCTTGCATACACAACACAAACCCTAAACCCTAAACCCTAGACCCTAAACCCTTAACCCAGTGCCCCTGCATACACAACACAAACCCTAAACCCTAAACCCAGTGCCCCTGCATACAAAACACAAACCGTATACGCTAAACCGTAAACCCTAAACCCTTGACCTTAGCGCTGACCCTAAACCCTTAACTATACATCCGAAACCCTAAACCCTAATTATTCCCTTTGCAGGGGAGATTAAGAGCGTGTTGACTTCAGCGAAGACTATAGATCCGGGATTAGGGTTTAGCTAGGGTTTAGGGTTTAGGCTTTACCAATGCAGCCGCATTCCGCGTGGTGAGGACAAACATAAGCCCGTGTAGTGTCTAGTGTTTAGGGTTTAGGGTTTAGGGTTTAGGGTTTACCGATGCATCCGCATTCTGTGGGATGAGAACAAACTCAAGCCTCTTTACAGTTTAGTGTTTAGGGTCTAGGGTTTAGGGTTTAGGGTTTAGGGTTTACCGATGCATCCGCATTCTGTGGGATGAGAACAAACTCAAGCCTCTTTACAGTTTAGTGTTTAGGGTTTAGGGTTTAGGGTTTAGGGTTTAGGGTTTACCGATGCATCCGCATTCTGTGGGATGAGGACAAACATAAGCCCTTTTAGTGTCTAGTGTCTAGTGTTTAGGGTTTAGGGTTTAGGGTTTAGGGTTTAGGGTTTACCGATGCATCCGCATTCAATGGGATGAGAACAGACTCAAGCCTAGGGTTTGTGTCTAGGGTTTAGTGTTTAGGGTTTAGGGTTTAGGGTTTAGGGTTTACCGATGCATCCGCATTCCGTGGGATGAGGACAAACATAAGCCCTTTTAGTGTCTAGTGTTTAGGGTTTAGTGTTTAGGGTTTAGGGTTTACCAATGCATCCGCATTCAGACTCAAGCCTCTTTACATTCTAGGGTTTAGTGTTTAGGGTTTAGGGTTTAGGGTTTAGGGTTTACCGATGCATCCACATTCCGTGGGATGAGGACAAACATGAGCCCGTCTAGGGTTTAGTGTTTAGGGTTTAGGGTTTAGGGTTTAGGGTTTAGGGTTTACCGATGCATCCACATTCTGTGGGATGAGGACAAACACAACTTTGTTTAACCCCGTTAATACAATTTCCGGATAAATTACTAAAAAAAGAAGAAAAGGCGCCGGTAAAGGCAGAGGCACCGAGCCCAGCTCCTCTTGCTGCTATGTTCAGCAACAAACCCGCCATCTTCTTATACACCGCAAACACTAAACCCTAAACCCTAAACCCTAAACCCTAGTTTTCTTCTGGTGCAGGGGGGAGAGCGGGTAGGGGCGGGGGGGGG